CCCCAAAACCCCAAAACCCCAAAACCCCAAAATATAACAATATATTGCGATTCATGAACAACTTTTAATAACACTCTATATTTATAATTTCTCTCAAGAAGGTCAAACTCAAAATTTCACTTTAGGTGATTTGGCTTGGAAAGTTCAAATTTTTGGTGCCTCTTATACTAGGTTTTTGGGGAGGAGAAGAGGTGAGCAATTGTTTGGGAGGATAGAAGGATGGCTAGAATTTAGGGATTAGTGGGAAATTAGTAATTTTAAGGTGGGTATATGAAAAGAGGAGTGCTATTGGTTATTTGGTACCAAAAGAGGAGGGTTGGCAAAGATAAGGTGACCGCAAATGAGAATTATGTGGAGAAATTTATATGATACTTAGATGTATTATTATATGAATCAAGTCTAGTAAGAACAAAGTAAGCAAATAGTTGAGCTTGTACTCATAGATCCTTTATACTTCATATCATAATAATTATTTGAGACTATTTTCATATCGTTGTTATTAAAAATGACTGTTATCTAACCTAGCACTATTTCAGTTCTAAAACTAGAACATTTAGTTTGAATTTCCAATTCTTTTATCAAAGTGATAGGCTTGATAAAAAATAGTACAACCAATAGAACCTCCTTGTAAACCATTTTTCTTCTTTTTATTGGCATAGTAAAAGAGTTGTGTTATGTTATTAATGAAAGTTTATAATGATTTCGCATAAACCACTAAGTAATATTATTAAATATCAGCCTATGAAGAAGAATAATAGTGCTGACCTAGGTCTGAGGTCCCAGAACTCCAAACTGGCAAGTTATTAGTACCTATCTTGTTTATCAAAGACATTAATATGCCAAAAGTTGAACGAAATGTTTTTAAATAGTTTTTTAAAATAGAAGTGAGTTAGTAGTTTTTAAAGATGAAGGGATTCTTAATATCCTTCATGGAGACTTCATTTGTTACAGTTTTGGCTTTCTTATCTAAAGGACTGTCTCTTACTCAAGGGTTACTCCCTCCACTTCATTCATAGCTTCGATGATTCCTTAACTGTATGGCCTTGCGAAGAAGACTTCTAATATCACTCTGAAGGTTTGTTGAGGTTGATACAGACTGAGAAGATTCTTTCTTTCCTCACCATCTTATGTTTTTCACAGAAGGGTCATTTTGAGAAACCCAGAATTTATATCTTTTGTTGTCACTAGGGACTGACGAAATCTTTGATAGCTTTATCTTCTTAGGCCTCTTTTTAAAAGGAGAGCTAGAAATCCTATTTTCCAAATGAAATGGCTTCATAATACTCAACTTTCCTACGTTCTCATCCAAAATTTCCTCTGACAAGTTTTCTTCAAGCTCAAAACAACTCGTAATCATATAAATAATTAATAACACCAATAAAAACCACATCTTATGGGGTTTTGGGGTTTTGGGGTTTTGGGGTTTTGGGG